GCCTAATCACGACTGCTTCTTGTAACTGACCTAAGTCATACTACTCATCAAAGAGCCAAACAAATCCCATTAATGCGTGACATTCAAGGCATACAGAATTAGTGGGTGTTTCATACAAATTACAGAGAATTGAGATACAATAGACAAGAATATTTAGCAAAACGTTCTTAATATGGCAGTAAACAAAATGTACATCTCTTACTTCATTTGAAGCTTGTCTCAGTTGCTATGGGTTAAGTTCAGAAATAGTGTAGCATTGCTGAAGCTGTTTTGTTTGGAACACAAATTTTTTTAATGAAAGAAAACTCCCAAACTACATGTCAAAGACTTATTCTCATGGAAGTGCAATAAATTTATGACAGCGGCTTAATTTTTTTGTCCCAATATTGGTGTCTCCCTACAGAAATGAACACTTGTACACTTTTTGGAATGCTGTTAATGAAATATAGTGGACTATTAACTATTATTTGTTACTGTATTCTCTAACACTCTTCACAGTTCAGCAGACACTGTTGAATACAAGTTTTGCAGCAGATGCCCCACTCGTGTGCCTTCTGTGGACCAAATGTCATTGTGAAGTACACCTACAGTGAGCTCAGGGACATCAAGACTGGACCATGAACAACTAGAACAAAGTTGCCTGGTCAGATGAATCCCAATTTCTCATTCATCATGTTGATGGCCATGTCAGGGTATGCCGTCTTACAGGAAAACAGTTGCTCTTTCCCTGTACGACAGGTCATCCACAAGCTGGTGGTAGCAGCATTATGCTTTAGGGGATGTTCTCATGGGCAGTTCTGGAAACCTTAGTTGTGGTAGAACATACTATAAAACCTGTGGACTCTCTGAACGTAAATGCGGATCAGTTGCACACTTACATGGCGTCTTCCCAAATGGAAATGGAATCTTCCAGCAGGACAATGCCCCAAGTTACAAGGCTCAGATTATGTTGGAGTGGTTCAAGGAGCATGAAGATGGATTCCATTTAATGTCCCAACCACTTTACTCGCTGGATTTTAACTTGATAAGAGCTTATCTGGGATTTCATGGAGTGGCATCTCGGAGCTTAAACACTACCATATCGAAATATCTCAACTTTGGATGACCTGCTTCTTAGATATTTGGTACAACCTGTCTCCAGTCAAAATGAGTTACAGCAGTTTTTCAGGCCAAAGGTCACGCAATAGGATACTAAGCACGTGATCATAATGTTTTGGCTCTTCAGCATGCATATATATATGTTTCTTTGTAACTTCTTTTTAACTATCACAGCCCACCATGGCTAAATAGTAAGACTGCTGATCACTGGTAATTCAACCCAGGTTCAAATCTTGGTGGCTACAAGTTCATATTTAGATGATTAAAGTGGCTCAAACAACTTATTAATGCCAAAAATTTGCCAAGATATTTTGGCTTTTATGCTAACAATTATTTCAATTATTCAAAATTTACATTAGATCTAACTAACTACAGTCAAAAGTCGTTAATCCAGACTCGTTGGGACTTCGGCAATTCCGGATTATAGACATCAGTTTAAATCTGGTAAGATGGCATGCAGAAATTATAAAATTAAAAATATTAAACCGTAATTTATGAAATAAAGAACAATTACGATCTAAAGGTATCAAAATTTACAAAAAAAAAAGCTTAATATTTATTTGTTTACTTTATTAAACATTTCTTTCAATGTAAGTTGTTTAAGTTGCATCTTTTTATGTGATAATACTTTCTCTTTAATTCTATAAACAGACATAAATTCTTGTTCAGTTACAAGTTCCGCTGTTCAAGTCCTATAATTGCTATGTCGAGAATACCGATTAATTTCTCAATCGAAATTGTTTCGTTTTCATTAACGTCTGTGTCACTTTCTTCACTATCGGAAGCGAATTATAATGACGAGGAATTTGATTTAAATCATATCAAAGACGGAGTACATCGAGATGAAATACTACATTTAGTAAGGAATTATAAGCCAAATAAAATAAAAACATCTGCCCTGAAGATAAGGATAGTGCTGACAGATCAACTTCCAATTCATTGCGCGCCGGGGCGATTTCCCCCCTTGCCGCAGAGCAGCGTGAAATTGATAAACGGATTTCGGAATGTTTAGAGAAACAAAGGATATGCCTTTATCCATTTTTTGCAGCAATTCCACTTTTTGTTCGATGGAGATCGAAACATACTTTTGCTTTGTAGATCCTTTGGGAGCTCCAGCATCGAAAATTCTATTTGACATCGAAAGTTCAAGCTTACTTTTATAAAGTTGCTCTAACAGTCTGCAAAAAATAATAAGCTGGATCCAATTCGAAGATTAAGGAACAACGCAATCTGCAACATTAACTGAAACAGATAATTAGATAATTTTAGCTTATACTGTCCGTTATACATTAAACGTATTATGAGCATGCGCACACACCCATGTGCAGCCGTAAAGGTCTTACGTGCATGCCTAAACGCCTATGCGCATGCGCAGAAAGTTTGTAGCTTTGAGGTCCAGATTATGGGTGTCCAAATTAACGACTTTTGACTGTATATTAGTTTATGTGTAAAAATGGCTCTACTCTTATATGCACCAAATGTGACGATATGTGTTCTACGCTCATTTTTTGGCACGATTGCGTGTTGTATGGCAACCCTTTTGACATTGAAAACTCTTTTGCTGGAGTGGTTTAACTGCTCGCTGGTTTGTGTCGTGCGTGCTTTGAAATGGCCTTTGAAACGTCAATGAAAGACGTGGTTGCAAGAGGGTCTAGGAGATTAATTTTAGTGGCTGTACATGATAGAAGGAAACGCTGATGCAGTGTATTAAAGAGTGGATTGAGCATTGTACAACTATTTTTTCAGATGGCTGCAAATCTTACAAGGATTTAGGAAAAGAAGGTTTTGAACATTTATTTAGGAACCATAGTATGAATTTAGGGATAGCGAGTCTGGCTGTCATATAAATGCCATAGAGAATACGTGGCGGTATGTTAAAGCTACGTTCTGCTGTCCGAAGAAGCATCCATTATGGTAAGTGCATTTTATTTTATTGTTTTTATTTTGTAGAATGTTCATTGTTTTTTTACTATGAATTTCTGTTGTTTTTTGAATTATTTGTAATTTATTTTAGTTATTTTGTTGATTTGTGCGCAATGCTTAGATTGTGCAATTTGTAGATGTTTCTTTAAGTTTAAACAGAATGCTGTGTACATGATATTCTTTGAAATTTATTGTTATGTTAATTTATTAAGCGAGGTAAGTGTAGTTTGTAGATTCCTTCGCTGCCTAGATTGTGCAATTCGTAGATGTTTTTTAAAGTTAAAACATATCGCTGCATACATGGATTCTTATTAAATATTTTTGGTTAGAGACTTTACATTTTTTTTATACCTGAAATTGTATTTTTTTTTTTTTTTTTTTTAAATTTTTGCATTTGCAAAAACCACGTTTTTGGAGACATTTTAGGATTAAAGTTTGAAATATAGACAAAAAATTTAGATAGTAATATGGCACCGTGGAGTTTCTCGCCAAGCGAGGACGTATATAAGAGTAGTTCCAAAAATATATATTGCATTTTTTAACACCATCTAATTAGAGGTTTAATTACTTTGAGAATCTTCAATGCATAGTCACCATTTAATAAGCTAATGCGGGGGAGGGGGGGGGTTGGAAAATCCAATTTCTTTTAAACACACTACTAGAAGATTACAAATTTGGCATAATTTTTCTTTTACAAATTTTAACAAACAAATTTTGTTATTAATAAAAGGTAAGTGAAATATATTCCAATATGCTAAAAGTTTCGCAGATTCTCCTCATGATTTTTGTAAACAGTCCTGCCAGAAAAGATATTTCTAAAAAGTAAGGGGCTCAAGGATGAAATAAAACAAATCTGGAGGAATAAGTTGTTGAATTTACTAGAAAATAAGCATGAAAATAACATTTTAATATGCATGTGTAATAATCTTATTAATATGAACAGTATATATAGAAATACTAACCCTTTCTATTAATCTTAAGATTACTTTTTAATATGAATAATGTGTACAAAAATATTAATATTTGGTTTTAGTATACAGTACACGCAAGCAGTAAATGAGTCATTTGGCATTGGCGACAATCCCACGAAGACCATACTGTATACTACGATTTTACCTTAATATTTTTTAATAATCTTATTATTTTTTTCATTTGATGTTCAGTGTATGCTGACCTTTGATATCCACTGTATATGAAACGGCTCTTGAAGACCATTACTCTCAAAAGTGTTTACTTTTGAGAATATATATAAACAACAGAAATAAACATAAGTTTCCTACCGCAATATCCTCCACAGAAGATCAAAACTGCCTGTAAACATTACACAGAATTTACTGTAAAAAATATCGACGTTTATTTTAAATTTGGCTATGTATGTATTTAAGAGTACTATTTTCATTACCTGAGGAATGTTCTTTAATGCTTATAATAATAATCTATTAAAATGCAGCGTGTTAAAAAGTGTTTTAAAAATTGCAAATGTATTTTACGATAAAACAATGCTTCGTTTGGAACAGGAATAGCAAATTCGTATTCATCTAACGGAAGTATTTTTTTCACGGATCAACTGTAATTGCTTACATGGAACTAAAACACACAGGCAGAAAATATTCACCAATAAAAAACAATGTTCCAAATTTATGCATTTCTAAAGGTAAATAAACATAAACATCATGTAAAGACAGAAGAAAAATTCAAACACAAATATGAAATAAATCGATATGTCAAATGTCGCATGCCTGGCCTAGACGCCAAATGGGTGTGGATATAATAATACATTTATTTCTGCATTAAAAAGATGAAAAAATAAAATATTATTTCTTTTTTAAATTTAACTGATAATAATGCAACAGGTACGCAAAAGTAATTAGAAGCTCTCAAGGTAAGAAAATATTCTAGAAGAAAGCGAATAAAGAAGCCTTTTGACACAATTTTCATACAAACACATATTTATACGTTGTCCATAAAATCGTTCTTACCATCTCCAGGTTTGATTGTTTCAATTTCAACTCCCATGTTTTATTTTTTAAAATAACTTAATAATCAACTAAATTTCCGAAAGACAGAGAAATATAAATTTACAACGGTTTACAGTAATTATAAAAGCCAACACTGTTCATCTCCCGTACAATAATTTTCCTTCGATAAAATTAGTTGCAAACAGGCTGCGAATCAAGAAATTCCTCACATGCTTTCATTTGTATTAAGCCGCAAGGAATATCATTTTACGAAGTTATTTACACAGGATTTGAGTTTTCAAAATAAGTAATTTTTAAAAGCTTCATTTTTAATAAAATATCGCTAATTATGAATAAACAAAAAACCGAGGATGCGTAAAAAATAAATATCTATTGCAAACATAAAGCTATCCAGTTGTTAATTTCATCATTAATGAGTAAGGAAAGCAGTAATAATTTAAGTTTACAACTATACCTTTAACCAATTTATTCATTTAATATTTCCTATCGACTTGTGTAATGCAAAAGAAAAAATGGATGCCCGATACATGAATAAATACTCTCGGTTGAGATTTTGCTCATGTTTTAGACGTCTGTATTACTTTTTATCTTGATAATTCCGCATTGTTTTATAAGATTTCGAAGACCTCAAAAAAAACAAAAAAAAAAAAAAAAAAAACGCACTTTCAAGAAATACAATAAAGACAAGCCTTTTTCTTCTTTTGCTTATTAATTACAATAAATCGTCGAAAAAACGACGGTAAATATTGTTTCTTTTCTTTTTCATCATAATTTTTAATACATCTACCGCACATTTTACTAAGCATTTATCAACAATAGTTGAACTCTTCGGCCACCTAGCCATTGCACAGAACATTGCTCGAGGTGCACAACTCTGCTGGACACCTACTACACCAGCAAGAAAAGGGAAAAGATTATTCCAATCATCCAGGGAGAGATAACGATCTTTAAAGGCACTACTGATTTAAAAATCCTTTTGTTCCTCTACATATGTTTATGCCAGTTTTTCTTGATTCCTTCTCTCTCTCTCCCTCGGTTTTGCTTTAGTAGCACCACGCATTCCACGTTAAAACCGGCAAAAGGAAATTTTTTGGTGCCCCGTTTCCTAGATACCTAACGATCCTTTTGTGGTGCTTATATTGCTTAATTGTTAATCTAGCCCTCCATACATCCAGTGCTGATCCTAGAGGAGGGCAAGATGGTGTACAGCACGTGGGAGGTCAAATTTAAGGGAGGCGAAATGATTATCAAGCATATTATATTTCTGTAAAAAAGGGCAGCCAATTTTAATTTGCATGTGGGTGGCCGACGATCTAGGATCGGCACTGCATACATGTGTAGTGAATGCATTCTATTTCAGGAAGAGTGGCGCTGCAGTCACTCTTCCTCTCTATCTCTTTCCCCCACTACTACGTCAGTGGATCAGCCACCGGCGCACTTGTACGCGCTCTTCTGCTAATATTATTTGTGCTAAAAACAAAATACCGCTTTATATAAACGCAAGCGTTAATTTCATGGCTGCATCAAAGATCACAACATGATGTTGTAGAGAACACATTCTATTTAAGAAGTAGTGGCGCTGCAGTCACTCTTCCACTGTCTCCTTCCCTCACTCTTACATCAATGGAGAAACCGCCGGCGCAGGTGTGCTCGCTTTTCTGCTAACATTATTTGAGCTGTAAATAAAGAAGAAAAAATTATAGAAGTGCAAGCGTTTGTCTCATAGCTGAATCAAGATCGCAATACATCCATGCCTCTTTCAAGATTCGAACCCAAGGCCAGAGACTTTGCATCCAGCAACCATCGTACCAGTTATGGAGGCTTATCACTAAAAATGAATAAGTTGTATGTTTTTTGCAATAAATCGTTAATTCTAAAAATCTTAAACACGCTTTTGTTTAGAATGCAGTAAAATACTTCTATTTACAGGCTATTGAGCTCACCCTATGTCTTATTTACTAAAATGTTTCCTGCTAGAGAAAAGTAAACACTTCTTTTTTTCTCCAAGTTGTTCATTTTGTTTGAGGGAAATTATATGCGCCACTTTTAGAAATTGAATACACTGATTAACCTATTTGATATGAAACTGTCTATTTAACTGAATACGGTAAAGCCCATGACGGCTAAGGAAAAGAATACCTTCCCTAAAGCTAAGGAAAGGAATACCTAAGGCAAGGAATACCTTCCCGAAAACTGTTTCGTTTGTTACCTATGGAGAAACTACAGAATCACTCATGCACTTATTCCGTTCACCAAACTTTGAACGTGTGTCAAGCTGTTCAGCGATGTTATCCATTCAACTCATCATCATGTCAGAAATAAAGATTTTCTTTCAGTTACGTAAAAATAAAAATGAAGTGTTCGTTTCTTTTTAACTCTTACATTCCACCAGCGGCCAGCTGATGAGACTGTTAAACACTGGTAGTTCAACCCGCGTTCAAAACTTGGTGAATGGGATGGCTGCACGAGAGTTCTCTGGCTTTTTCCATATGTAATGTGAATAGAGCAAATAGCCGTTAGAATTGGAAATATTCAAAATAGCAATAGGCAAATAGCCCTTTGTGTGCTTTGGCATAATTTAATTAATCCTTTCCAATTTTTATAAGTCATATCAATGACTTCTTCAGAATAATTTCAAAATTGTTCAAGTAGTTACAATTTAAAAAAAAATTATTTAGCAAAAAAATGAAAAATAAAAAGGGGAGTAAAAAAAAGGGGGATCTTTAAACCCCAAACATAGCGGCTGTACATATACTAGTACATACAAGGTAGATTTATGGTGCAACAGTCAGCATCAATTTTCCATCAGTAATGTCCAGAAAGTTAGTTGTAATTAAGGCAGTAATTTTATCGCAGGTGATAAATGACAAAATCCTCAGTCGGTTGTGCATTAAAATGTGAAATTTCACAGCCTAGGACTTAGATTATGATCCAGCTTTCAACTTTCGATTATATTCGAAAAATGTCACTAATATGAAAAAAAAAAAACCCACTAGATTCCAGGATATTAATGAAATCGTCTGAGCCACGTGGAGGCCATGCACGCAGCTATCAATCGAATTCTAAAATACTTACCACTTGTAAAACTTGCCCTAGTAGAGAAGCAAATACTGGTAAATCTAATAAAATCATTGATGCAAATGGGAACACTCTTCAATGCCATCGTTCAACAGAGCAGATAGAAAAAAATAGAAATGCCCAACAGAAAAATTCCGCAAATAATATCTCTGCAGATTTCGTATATTTTATAAAGCTCATTCGCGAAATAAATAAGATTTTCAGTGACTATTCCACAGTCGATGTAAATAGAACAATCACTAGCAGCCTGGATGAGGTTCGTGCTGCCCTCACTTCACAAAATTTTTGCGCTGTTCAACATTCTGGGTAGAATTAAAGGAAATTTATTTGGTGTAAATGGAAACTAAGCATGTGTGATAATGCGCTAACGGTTTAATATTTTCTATCTGCATTTATTTTTGAATCTGTGGGAACTTTAGTAGCTTTATACTTACCCGTAGCTTATGCGTTTGTAGTTTGTGTGTTTTTCTTAGTTTTATTACGTGCCTTATATTTTCGTAACAGTCTTTTACATGCCCTGCTTCGTATTCTTACGTCTTCAGCTAGACAGCCATGATTAATTTCCGGAACTTTTTTGTGAGTATTGTTATGTTTCTTCAACTTCAGGACTTTTTTAATTACTTTTAGAATCTTTTTACTTAGTTCGCCTTGATAAATTCGAAAGTGAATATTATTCGATGGAGGTAACATCAGTTAACATTTTTCAGAATCTATTATTCCTTCTTAATCAATTACATAAATTGTTTCATAAGGGTTAATTCTAAAAAGTCTAGTAAAACCCATTTATTTAAACATATTGCCCACAAAATCAATCAAAACAAAAACAAAAACAAAAAAACAAAAGAAAGAAAGAAAGAAAGAAAAAGAAACACAGCATTTAATCAAATTCCTCGAAGAATCAATACTCTTGCACTAATTTCAGTTTGTCAGTAAATATTATTTTTCTAATAGTACTAGAAGTATTTTCAATTCCCTGATCCATTAACAAAGCAAATATCCTTAACCAAATATTTAAGATTTTTCTAACATTTCTTAAGTTATAATAAATTTTAAAAAATATTTTCTTAATAATTAGCATTAAGAAGTTGAAAATGAACTACACACCGCTCTATAATAATTTGCGGACTATTTTAATATTAATAAACCTTATCTTTAACGAAATTTCATGCCCATTCCTACGCTAATTACACGATACTCTTAGAAAATTTCAATTCTGTCTCTACTCAGTTAACCATTAACTTGAGAGAACAAGTTAAGTTGCAACTTAAGGTAACCTACACTTAAAGTACAACCCTGCGAGCTTTTGAAGGTGATTTTAAATAGAGTTAAAAAGAATTTTCAGAATTTAATGAATTAGCAAAATTAAGGTCCAATAAGGTTTCTCCACTTAGCTACAATCCATCAGGTTACATGGATCTCCATCATCATCAGGATTTCCGGGATGAAGACAGCATGCGCACTCTTTATGAAAGAAGGCCAGGAATTACCCTTTTACTATTAGAGTCTATTTCCAGACGAGTAAGATATGGCAGGAAGGCATCTAGTTGAGTCCTTTTTTTTTTCAGACGCAGAAGAAATGACAGGAAGGCATCTAGTTGAGTCTATTTCCAGACGAGTAAGAAATGGCAGGAAGGCATCTAATTGAGTCGGCAGCAGGCAACTAGATACAGACATAGGATTCTTGGTGGAAGGAATACTCTTTTGAAGAGTAAATTCCTCGTTTTCAGTCAGTCTATTGAAGAGGTTGTAGAGAAAAAAAGCATCCTTGACCGGAGTTTAGTGACAAAATCTTCTAAAGGCAATTGCAGGAATTGGTACAGAAAGGCGGTTCTCGGACCAAGCCACGAGAATATAGCAAGCCGGCCCCATCTAGAGTTACTCAAACGAAGGCGAACGACGACCCAAAACGAAATGGCAAGAAGCAGAAGTCTAAAGAGAGAGAAATCCAGAAAATGCAGCTGCTTATAGATGTGACAGGACTGCCATATTGGCTAACACACGCCCGAAAAGGTGAAAAAAACAGTTGTTAAAACCATAGACCTGTTATATACTAGACGGAGCATCGCAATTCAAAACCGGGTGAAA